CGACCCCGTCCGCCCGCCGCCACCCCGCTTCGCTCGCCGCTGCCATGCTCCGCCCCGACCATGACCCCGTCCGCCTGCCGCGGCCGCGTCTCTCCAGTGTTTTTGTCACGGCGCCAAAGAAGACCCTGAAGGGCAAGTCCGGGTTCTTCGGCCTGAGGGTGAAGCCCTCCGGCAACTTGGGGATGGAGTTCTTCAACGCCGGCCGCCGCTGGTGGCTCAGCACATTCCCCACCGCCCACGAGGCCGCACGTGCCTACGGCGTGGCAGTGTGGCGTGCCGGATGGCCCAAGGAGCACCTCAACTTCCTGGAGATCGAGAACCAGGCGGATGCGGAGATGCTCGGGGGGCATGAGGATGCAGGAGATTACGCCGAAGAAGGCGAAGAAGAAGCCGGTGGTTGTCGTCGGTCCCGGCGAGAGCAACGAGGCGACGATGATGAGGTTTGCCCAGGAGCATCTGTAGTACGTCTAGGCCGAGCTGGAGCACTACTGGAAGCGCGGCGTCGAGGCGAAAAAGAAGGGGGTGAAGAAGGAGGACAAGGCTGGCCCCTTGATGGTGATCCCTATCGAGTCAGAGGAGGAGGACTGGGGTGACTTCGACGAGGAGGACGAGGGGTGCAACGACCCGGACAAGGACGAGTTCTGGGAGCAGATCCGCAGCTCCGATGATGAGGAGTAGTTTCATCTAGTAGTTCGAAAAGGTAGTAGTTGAATTTATGTATGAAACTATGTTGAATTTCATGTTTGAACTATAGTGAAATGAAGTAGTAGTTGTTCCTTTCCAGATTTTTACATCTCCAAAATACATCATTTGTTGGAGTTGAGACTTTCTTGGAGATGCAAAAAGCACTTTTTGGAGATGTAATTTTTTACCTCTCTTGTTTACATCTCCAAAATTTGCATCATCTATTGGAGATGATCTAACCACCCTTAAAAATTATGGTCAGCCCCTCTCAGACGGTGACAAGACAAGTTTGTCGTGGATTAATCAATTTGAAATTGAATCAAACCAAGCTACCACCAGACGCTAAAAGACCATGCCACATGCATGTATGTTTGTGTTCTGCCATACAAATTCTTCTTCTTCTTGGTGTGAGGTGGACTTTGGGGGTTCTAATTAACATGCATGCAAAGTGAGGTATTCTTTGATGGGCTAGGCTTTGAAGTTGTTGACAGCGCTATCGGTGAAGAGGGGACCATGAATGATCTATTGATGGAGACGTTGACTACGAATGACCTCTACTATATGATCAACCAGCGGAATTTCTCAAAATGTTCCAAGGATTTTGCACTTCGAAATAACTCTATTGACCTCTTACCAGGAAGAGGCAGGCGTGCATGAGTGTCACATAGGCACGTAACGGGAGAAGCCGGTCACGAATCCATTGATGAGTTTGTCATCGTTTTATCTTGTCGATAATGAACACCACTGAGAAATCCAACCAACGAAGTACTGGTTCTCACTAGTAGAAAAAAGGTCTTCTGTCCCGGTTGGTAAGGGCCTTTTGTCTCGATTTTGAACCGGGACTAAAGGGTCGTTATTAATGCCCTGACCCTTTAGTCCTGGTTCAAACAGGAACCGGAACAGATGGGCCTCCACGTGGCCGGTGCGCCGAGCCCAGGCAGGAGGGCCTTTGATCCCGGTTGGTGGCACCAACCCGGACCAATAGGCATCCACGCGTCAGCATTTCAGAGGCTGAGGTTTTTTTTTTTTTTTGCCTTTGGACCCGGTTGGTGGTACTAACCGGGACCAATAGGCATCCACGCGTCAGCATTTTAGGGGCTGAATTTTTTTTTTGAAAAGGGGGGTGGGGGTTTTGGAAGGTTAATTTAGGTGCTTCATATATTGTGTTAGCTAGCTAATTAATAGAAAGAATTGTCCTCTCTTATGTCCGTGCTTGGTCGACGCTACGTACTATATACGTATAGAGAGGACTAGACACGCTAGCTAGCTAGTAAGCAAACGAAGGAAATAGAAGATCGTTATGAACATATATGCATACAGAGAGAAGTGATATCGACCACCTCTCCTTCTCCGAGAGATTGATCGAACAACAAGTTCTCGTATATCTATCCGACACTACCGGCTACATATACACAATAATTATCTCTTACAATATAATCTCCTAATTATATACGAACACAGGATCCACATAGAATTCTCCGTCTTCAGCGATCACGTGGTCAAAAAAGAATGCCGCCAATTCCTCTTGAATTGCTCGCATACGAGCTGGTGCTAGGAGTTCATCCCGCATTCGAAAGATCTAATTTGAAGAAGGGGGTCAATACATATATTATTGCTTACGCACTTCATATTGTTCGTCAGAGTACACTCGTTCACAGGTCATGTGGCGGATGGACTCGCAAATGTAGTATCCACAGTAATCATTCCCTTGTTTCTGCCACAACCACTTTACAAGAAATAGAGGTCAACCAAACTGATAAGCAAGCATGTCAAATGTTATTGATGAAACTAGCGCTTGAATCACTAGGAGATGTGTGAAACATGTTACTATAGTACTTACTTTCGGGTGTCTAAATTGCAGCTTCTTCGGCAGTCACGGAGCTTTTTTGGTAAATTTTCTCCAAACCCTGCCAGACAAAAAAAACAATTATTTGATATCAGGAAATGAACAAAGTTGCTGATATGGTGGATAATGATCGATTTAACTTACTTCTCGAGTATTTGAGTCATGTCCGCATAGTCCTGTGGATATTTTTGTCTCGAGTCTAAGACGGTTACTAGTCCCTGCTCAAACTTAATCTCTAGGAGAATATAGTGGAACATGTGCACGCATGCATAACTCATTAATTACATTACTATAACCTGGACTAATAAGGGAAACCGAATATGCACAAGACAGTAACACTCACTTGAAGTTGTAAGGAAAGAGTATTATATCTTTGTTTTCATTTATTACCAACGATCGTAGCAAGTTGGCCTCGGTATCGTCGGCACGATATTTAACCTCAGTTGTATCTATGAGATTTGTGTTAATGAACCCAATATCACCAATTTGTCTGCTCTTCAATTTGGCGATTTTCAATCTGCATAATATAGTGAGGATAATTATAAATACATGCAATGAAAGAGCTGACCTATATAGAGAGACTTAATGATAGAAGTAGTACTACTTACAGATAGTAGCAAGTGACCGTTGCTTTATCGAGGGCCTTTTGATTGAAAAACCGGAAGAACTCCTCAAATGGAACATTCAACAGTTCAATTCCAACGAGGTCATGCTC